TTTAACGACTGTTCAGACTAATTACCAAGGCACACTACTTGAACATACCACCCACTGCTCAGACTTTCGATCTGACTCATTTTAGTCCAGTTCTGTACATTTTAGAAAGCCTCAATGTTTTTGTACCTTATTCACATATTATGGTAATTTTTGCTGATTGTACTGTACAGTACATTAACTGTAGCTTTATGTTCTATTATACTTCACAGTACTAAATGTTGAGTTATGCAAATAAAAGCAAAGTCATCAAGTTGGAGTTTCCTTTCACCATTGCTCTGTTATCAATATTGTAATGTATATGCTATATATAATTCATAATTTAGTGACCAAATCATTTAACATGACATAGTCACAGGAATGACACTGGGTAGTTAAACAAAGAAGGAATGTGTTTCTCTTTTGGAATGCTTGATGACCCCAGCCTCTAGCAGTGAGGTAATTAGAAGACTGTTATGTCTTATCTCTGTGTGTCCCTACAAAGCCTCAGAAACTCAAAGGTGGGGCTTATGGGAATGACTAGATCATGGGAGTATCATAACTTGATTAGTCCACTAATTCATTTAGCATAGTTCTGGGCACAAATGCAGGACTTACTGCAGACAAAAGATCCACACTGTGTGTGGATGGCTCCAACCAAAAGGCTTTTAGCCTAGAGAGAACAAAAAGGGAAAGGACAAAGTTTAACTGTTTCCTCCTTGCAGTGTCAGGGACAGTTTCTCCCGTCATGTCACTTTGAAGCCAGCCAATTATGGATTGAAACCTCTGCAAACTATGAGCTTCTTCCTATAAAATGTGGATTTTGGGCATTTTTTTCTAGCAATAGTAAAGTATGTAAAACAGATGGTAAAAAACCCATATTCTCCATTATACAGTTTTGCCAGAGTTTTTGAACAGAGGTACCCTATAATTTCGATGTGATATTCAATATTTTATAGCAAAATTGACTTATTGAGTGATTTTAATCAACTATAGATTAAAATAATTATCTTGACAATATTTAAGATAGGCTTCGCTAACCTATGATATTTGGTAGGTTAATTGTTTTATGTCAATATATTTTCACTATATGGTATTTTTATAGTTTTATTTGTATGTAACCTTAAGGTCAGGAGCATATGTAGTAAGAATGTAGTTCTATCAAGAAATCAGGATAACAGCACTGATTTCATCACTTGGCTATCCTGACTTTTAAACAATGCATGTTTCAGTATATATATCATTATGTCCAATGTATATCACATCCTTTAATTCCAGCATCTCTGTACTGTGCATTGTTCAAGTATTTCTCTCCTTTTTGTTTCTGTTTTGTAATGTTATGATAGTTTTGTTCTGGATTCCATTCATGGGGTGCAGGAAATGTTACCCCAAAGTAATATGACTTTGTTGTCTTTGTCTGTTCCTGCTGCTAATAACAAAAATGCCTTAGACTAGGTGATTTACAAATATCAGGAATTCCTCACAGCTCTGGAAACTTGGGAGTACATGATCACGACCTCAGCAGAGTCAGTGCCTGATGGGAATAGATTGTGATTTCCTGCTGTGACCTTGTATGTCAAAGGGTAACAAGGTGGGCAGATCCTTTCTCTTTAGTAGCTTTATAAAGTAATGCTTCCATTCAGGTAGGCAGTCCTCAAAGGCCAATCATCTAAAATCCCTATGCTTTTACACTGTTACAATGGAGATGAAATTTTATATGAATTTTGGAGGCAACTTGACATAGTCAATTTTGTGAAGTTGAAAAAACTGAGGTAAACCATAGAGGCAAGAGAATCTCTTGAAACTTCCCTAGCCCTTCTCACTGGAAGAGGTCATAGAAGCTATAATTTCCTTCAGCTAGTCTTTCCAGAAGCAGGAAATAAAATACAGGAAGTTTATTCTGTGACTTTTCTCCTGCCTCTGGGCCATGTGACACACAGAATAAAAGACTCTCAGATGGAAAATCCAAAAATGATAGGAACAAACAGATCTTGCTAATTTGTTCCTTCTCACATTACTGTCATTAGATCCTACCCTTTTGTCCCCCAATCTTATTTCTGTAGAGCTGTTCATAAAAGCACACCATTTACCTGTTCCTTTTTGTCTTAATATAGCAGAGCACCACGTCATGTAAAATTAGAACTAACCCAATGTATGTGTTTTCCCTTTTTAGTATTATAGAGATATTAGCCATGAACCTTACAATAAATGGGGAAATAAATCTTTTTTTGCTTACATTATCTCTTTCATCCTTAGTCAGAATAAACAACCAATTTTGAATAGAAAAAGGGAAAGAAAATTCATGAATGTCCTTCTAAACTTGGTTTCTGGAGGTTGAAAATAGCTAGGGTAAAGGCATTCATAAAGAAGCTTTTCTCTCGCTCTTTTTTTGACATTTACTTAAAAGGAGTAGATCATAGCTTCGAAAATTGATTATACCATTTTTAATGGTATGCTCTATAAAGGGGATTCATTATTACTCACGTTCCTGATTTGTGTGATGAAAATTTTTATAATTGCAATTATAACTTACCATGGCTTAACGATACCCTTTTTGATGTGGTAAGTAGAAGATGATGCCTGGATTAGGTAATCACCATTGTTTCTAGTTATAATATTACATTATACAACACACATTTACAGAGTACCTATACTGTTCTATGTGATAGGTGTTTGCTAATTAACAAAGCAAATATAATCTCTGCTATAGGGACAGTAAAACAGACATGTTAAGGCTTAACTATCATCAGACTAATGTCAAATTTTCTACTATGTGCCCTGGTGTATTTTCATGGTCTGGCAATGCTTAGTAAACTGTAAGCATTTCATAAATATTGCAAAAGAGTAAGGATGAGCATAAGATGCTACTGGACAGAATCAGCAAGGGAATTTTGTGAAGATTCAACCCATATATCCAAATGCCCTATGGCCCTCATGCCCCTGATGCTAAACCTAGCCCTTTTGCCATTTACAAAGCCCAAAGGCCATAAGAGTGCTGTTCGGTTTTTATATGTAAATAGGTAAGGTTAGTTTCAAGACAAACTACGGTCACACTTGTGCGTATAGTTACTCAATTTAAAGGGTTAAAGACCTGAAGGAAAACATTTTCTTCATAAAAGATAGAAACTTTAGATCATGCAGTATAAAAAAATTTCTATATTAGAAATAAAACATAGTTCTAATTTTGAAACAGGATCAAGTGTACCACAATAAAAATTTTCTTTTCTGAATGGCCAAATGATAAAGAAACTATTCAGTAAACATCAGATCTCACATAACATATATGTGATGATTATGTACTTGTCTTTCTCATTTTGGAAGCCTGAAACTTGCCATGGTTACCGAAGCAGACTTGCAAAACAAAAAAATAATCTGAGTGCTACTTTTATTGTTATAATTCATTATGTTATAGTTATTAAACAATTCAATTCAATATTCTGAGTCTTTCATGTAAATGAGCTGCCTTTTATTTTAGTTTTTTAAAAACAGGACATGAAAGTAACTGTCCTATACATTTTTGATGTGGCTTTCAATCCCCTCGTTGACAAATAGTTGCATTTTGTGCCACTTACATGAAGAAGAGCTGTTTATCTCTAATATTCAGAAAAAGGCACTAAATTTTCATTTTAAAATGCTTAATTACCTGTATAAACAGAGAAATAAAGGAGTGAAACTCAAGTTCATATAGGTCTCGAAATCACTTTTCTTTTTCTAAATGAGCAGAAAAGTCTCAATGTTACAAGCTATTGTATGTCCATAGTCCAACTGTCTGTATTTTTTTTTTATTTTAGGGAAGGGTCTATAAGGCCTCACTACTAGATTGGACTCATAGTGATTCTCCTGTTTACAGCCTCCCAAGTGCTGGGATTATAGGCAGGCACTACCACGTTCAGTCTCAATTGCTGTCTCAGTGTGCCCTGCAGGTGGGGCCAGCACGGGAGGCCTGGGGACTGAACTCTGGCCCCTGCCCCTGCTTGCAGGTACTTTAATCCACTGAACTATTTGGCCAGCCACTCCAAAAGCCAAGTGTAAAAGACAATATTCAAAAGAACAAGGGGATCAGCAATTAAATTCAAATATATGAGGCAAGAACCAAAGTCAAAAAGTAAAAAAAGGTTGTTACTAGACACAGGACACTATAGAACACTTGAATGAAAAAATCTAATCAATATTGAAGAGAAACTTTCATATTACGTGTCACCATGTGATCAGTTATATAACTCATGCTTACTTTTCTTCTTTTATTAATACATGTGTGCAGTACACATGTTTATGTTCCTTCACTTCACTTCTTTTTTTTGTGGCCAGCTCTGCCTGTCCTAGGGGTGCGGCAGATGTGGCATGTGGTGCTGGGGATCAAACCATGGTCCCTGTGCTTGCCTAAGCTTACCTAAGCAGTCACTTATAGTCTGCTGAGCTAGCTCGCCGGCTTCTGTTCATTCACTTCTTAATCCTTACATTCCTTCATTTGATCCTTACGTTTCTATTCTTCTCAATCTCCTTATTGCTTAAGAAATATTTATCTCATAACTTCTGTAATCTTCTCGGCATACCGATACTAACCATCCTCTGATTGCCTTTCACAATGTATATGTGCTCTTGGAAAATGTATGAATACACACACAAAGAGAAAAAACTCTCAGACAAAAAAAATTTAAAAAACACTTCTAATGTTAATCATTTCCTTTAAGTACTTGGTTACATAAGATTGCATTTTGTTTTGGTTGTTTTGGATATAATCATGCCTTATAGGACTTACCTTACAAAGTTACAGGGGATTCAGATGAAATTCTTCGAAAAATGGCAATCTTTCTGATCTAATTGTTCTCTTGTCTATTCTACCTCATTCAAAACATCATAAAACAAAACTTAGGTTGCTAGTATAAGAATAACACACATACAAATTCATACAGACTGTATCATAGACTATTAAGTGTAAAATTAGCCACAGATACAGCAGGTAGATAGATAGACAGATACAAAGACTGACAAATAAACAGAATCTTTAAATAAATAAAGGATATTGTCATCTTTTCCACAAACTTATCGTGTTGATTTTCTGCTTGTGGGAATTTCTTGATGTCATGTTCCAGATGAACAATTTGCTGTTCCATGGTTGCAAGGTTGCTCTTGAGGATTTGAGCTGAAACTAAAGAACAATGTGCAAAACATTTAGACTCATTGACCAGGTATTCCATTGAACAACCAAAAACAGTATCATTTGAAGTATTTTTTAATGTGGAGAAAAATTCTTTGGAGTTAATTCACATTTTGCTGAATTACTGCTCATAAAAATTGTACTAGATATAAAATAAAAAATGTATATTATAATATACCAAATCATTATGTTAATCTTTTTTTAATGTATTTGGTACAGGGTCTCACTATGTAGCTTGAATTCATAGCGATCTTCCTGCTTTCAGCCTCCCCAGTGCTGGGATTAGAGGCCTGTGTCACCACACCCAGTCTCAAAACATTATATTTAATATGGGGATGTCACTATTTTACTCAGCCATTAGTTCAAATCTGTTTCCATTTAAATTCATTGATGGAATTCCTAATATTGCATTTTTTAAATCTAATTTGAAGATTAAACAGAAACTAAAACTCAAGGAAGCCTTCTCATTAAAGTATATTCTTGGCTTTATAAATGATTTAAAGTTAAATTACATAAAAGAATCAATTGTTTTACTTTTGTTGTCATACCTTGAAGTCAATAAACTAACACCTATGGTAAAGTTCCCATTTTTAGTGGTTTTCACAGTCAAAGAATATGAAAAATAACTATTGGTATGAAAAAAGAATTCAAAGCAAATTGCACTGAACACATATACACCTAGACCCACAATGGGTGCCTTTGAACAGTGTAACAGTTGCTTTAATTACCCCAACATACTTGGCATTTTTCTCTCATTAAAAGCTAATCATTTTAAGCAGTGTATTCAAATGCCTCCTAAATATAGGTACTTTCTAGACCTCTCATGGTGTGCTTTCATAGTGCTACCTTGAAAAATTACTATTTTATACATATTCTAATACTGCATAACTGCTAATCATATACAAAAGCACTATCAACCTCAACAGTACGTGTCAGAATAATAGCTGAAGAAAAACAATGTTACAACTTGATAGGTAGCTGTGACATGGATTTTTAAAGTTGGGCTTCTAAAATACCATTCTTTCATTAAAGACTGTACAGTACAAAAGAAAAATATTACAATTCTTTTTTTATAAATAAATTTTGTCTCATTCAGAGATAGATCAGTATTACAATGAAAAATTCCAGAGACTAACAAAATCAACAGCCTGGAAAATTTCAACCAGACTATGCTGACAAAAAATCATCACACTGACACAAACTTTATAACTGAGCAAGGAGAAATCACCTCAAATATACATGTAAGTTGAGGAGATTGAAAAATCATACACCAACACTAAAAAACATTTTTTCTTTTATTCTGTCAGTTTAAGTATCTGTCCAATGTTGTTCCAAATTTTTAGGTCTTCCAACCTTTGAAATTGTTCTTTCCAAGTTGAAGAGAGTTTTGTCTTGCAAAAAATATGCTGATGGTTCAGCAATCACTTCTTGCTTTATTAAAGTATATGTTTGTCAGGAAGAAAGTAATTCTGATTTTGATTTTTTTTTCACTTAACATTTCCTTATTTATCCCAATTATTGAATATGATTTTTTTCTTCCTTGTTTGGCTGAAAAATGAGAGCTATATACTGTTTGCTTGTTTCACTCAAGTTTCATGGACATGAAGGGGTTCAAGGCAAACTACCTCAAAATATGGCAACTTGTAGCAGGACAGTCCTATGAAATTTTCTTTTCTTGCCTCTTGTTTTCATTTATTACCTTTTTTAAAAAACAAACATTTACTTGAGAGACAGTATAGCAGTAATTTATATGACATGAGAAGCAGTACATATTTAGAAGACCAGAATGACAAGCATTCCAAGTATGGCCCTAGTATTATACATTGCTATCTTCAGTGCAGTTGCTTAGTTCACAGGTATCAGGACTGACCTTGTCAGATACAGAAGTTACATTTCTTGTTATATAGGTCTTGCTTTATCTTGATCTTAACTATCCAGCAGAAAAGTATAAAAATGAGGTATAAAAAGTAAAGTCATAATAATATGCTAAGGTGTAAAAGGCTCAAGTCAACAACTTGACATTGCTAGTCCTACAGATAGCCAACTACTATTATGGACAACTGGACTATATTGGATTATTTTGCTCAAATGACACACCTACAATATTTAAATGGCAATGGAATACCCATCTCTGACAAAACTAACCAAAAACGGTGATACAAATGGAGGACCATTTTGTATTTGTATATACAAAATAGTTAGGATAGATATACAGCTACTTTCTCTTAATTCAATGAGAAGAAAGGTTTGTACTAATAGAGTTTGGACAGGATATCATGTCTGCATCTTGTACTATGAATAACAACTATGAAGACAACAATATTCAACGTATCAATTATTGTAACTGTCTTATTAACCTATTTTGAAACTTTCTCATTGCTATTTATTCTCAATAAAATTAATTATATGGCCCCTTGTCATATTGAGTATTGTAATCCAAACCAGTTTATAAAACCCTCATGTGATATAGGCCCTTCTAAACCCTGAGGAAAGGAACATTCTAATGTATGGAAATGAGGTAACAAAGACAGGAATCTTTTTTCAATTTTCTGGTACTGGGAATCATACTCAGGATCTTGGGCTTGCCTGGAAGATGTCCTACTACTGAGATACACCCCTAGCCCAAAGAAACAAAGTGAATGAATATGTCCTGCTAAATTGCTCTCAGTCTATTATACACAGCTCGTAAGTTTTGTTCTCTGTATAACATTTTTCCAGAACTCTACATTCCTAACCAAAACTTCTACAAAAAAGGTTTCTTTCCGGTCTTCATTTCTTAAATTAAATTAAAATTTTAATTTCAAAATTAAAATTAATCTGTATCCTTTCATTAATCTCGTTTTTGTTACAGGGGCTCAGCCAAGGAACCTAAAGTGTGCAGAAGGAAAAGTTGTTTTCTTTTCCTTCTACAGAAGAAATAAGTGCAAGATAACTTTCTGGAATAAACAAAATGGCCCTGAAGGCCAGGTTTACACCACAGTGATAATCCCCCCCCCTCAAATGAAATCAACAGTAATGCCACTAGTAAAAAGGGAAATTATACTAATTTCATCTCCTAAGAACAGGTACTACACTTGATCTTAGCCAAAAGGCCGAGAAGCGATCATCTCCTAAGTATTCAATCAATTTCTGATATATGAAAGAAGTCTAGGTGAGTTAAAAAACAAGAGAATATTTTTAATACAGTAAAACTTTTGTTGTAAAGTTGAATTCTGAACAAATCAATATTTTGAGAACACTTGTTCTTCCCAATTTTACATTTCCAATCCTTAATCTTCTATAAATCCTTCCAGATCTCAATTCCAAATTCTTTACTATTTCATATTGTAGGGACAGAAGAATCCCTGTGGAGGGTTACAAGACCTGAGCCCTTGGGTAGAAAAAGCAGTTTCTGTGTAGCTATAAACAGCAAGGAGCTTTCAAGCAATTTTATGGTTTGAAGTTGACAGGCTGTGGTTTTGACACCTGCCTCTGTGCGGCCAACACTGTCCCTCCTAGTGCAGGTTGCCATGCCTACCCCCCCCCCAATAGCTCACAAGACCAAATCCATAGCAATAAGTCCAAAATCAAATCAATCAAGTGTCAAGCCTCAGGGGTATGGAGACAGAGCCATACCCCATCAAACAGAAGCACAACCCCAGATTCAGTGGTGTCCTAGCTATGAGACCCCCATTTCTCTGGAGTGGCTTTTTATCACTTCCTCTTGTAATACCTACAATAAAATGACTTTTGGTTTGCACAGGACTTTTCTCACCCCTTTTCCTCTTTCTACATTGGAGAGGCAAGGCCAGCAGTGGGGCCCCACATTTTCATTTATCTCCGGGCCTCACACATTACATAGTTGGTTGTGGTCCCCAGAAGAAACAAATGTAACTTGGATCACCTAATAAGAGAGAGTGAAGTTCACTTACTTGCTGGCTCCTTCATATTTCCTATTATTTTACTGATGAAATGTTTCCATTTCTAGGCGTATTAAGTTCTTCCTCCAGCTGGGAAGCAAATGGCCAGAGTTTAGAGAGGAGAGAGTAGAGTTGGCAAAGAAGAGTGCCCAGTACTAGGAGGTTACATAAGATCAAGAACAGAGTACTCCTTCTATCCAAAGTTGCTTATTCAATTTTTGATAATTGACATCATTGTAACAATTTTTTTTTTTTTGGCAGAACCAGGGATTGAACTCAGGCCATTGTGCTTGCCAGGTAAGTGCTTATTCCACTGAGCCATCTCCCCTGCCCCAATTTTTTAGTTATAATCAGTCTACTTGAACTCCTACTAGTTAGTCCACTTTTGCCTGGTACTAACAATGATCAAATAAACTCTTTTACAGGAAAAGTATCACCTTTATTTTGTTAGTCTATGCAGGCTATAGAAACTTCAACTAGTCTTTTCTATGATATATAATTATTTAAATTAAGACATAATATTTATTAATAACTATGTGCTAGATATCATTATAAGTAGTTTCATGTGTCAACACATCTATTCATAGTAAAAATTCCATGAGATATATACTCGTAAGGAAGAGTATAATATGAACAAAGAGGTATCTTCCCAAGAAAATTACAAATGTGAAGCAATGTCTCTGGATAGAACAGTACCTTGAAACAAAAGCTGTGCTCTTTAGCATTCTTTGGTGTAAGCACCTATTCCTCACATATGTGGCCATGGCTGAGGGTCGTGTGCTAGGAATAGTCTTACAACTCAGATAGACCTTGTGGTTTCGAACCTCACCTACACCAATTATTAGTTAGCCTACTCTGATCAAGTAGTTTGTAGCTTTCTGATTTGCTAAGTGGAGACAATAATACCATCCATAAAGACTGGCAATTCAATTTAAATGATTTTATCTTTCCTAAATCACTTATACTTGGTAAATAACAAGTAATCCTTAAATGTCTGTTTCATGTTTCATTATTCTTGCATTTATATCTTCTTTATTATTATTATATTTATTTAGTTATTTGGTACAGGGTCTTGCTACGCAACTTAGACTCATAGTGATCCTCCTGTATCAGCCTCCCTAGTGCTGGGATTACAGGCATGTGCCACTATGCCTGGTTTCTATATTCTACTTTGTGACAAAAATTCTACTGTCTATGCCAACAAGAATTAAGTTGTGCCACCATAAAAATTCTACTCTCAGTGTTCCACTTGCCACCCCTACAATGCTTGGTTTTTCTTTAATTTTGGCCTTTTTTCTAACCACAAGACTGAAATTTGTGTTTTCTGTTTTAGGTTTTGCCAAATACATGGAATTTTAGGTCGGGAAGCAGTGACATTTACGCTAATGAACAGCCAATTAGTTACAAATATTAGCAAGTTTCAAATTGTAAAGAATATTCTTGAAAACTAAAAGCTACAAAATAAGTCTTTATCTCCTTGGAGACATTTAAAAATAATTACTTTGACTTTCTAGATTTTCTAAAAGATAATAAAATAATTAACATGTGCTTACCTACCTGATTATTTATCTTGAATACATTTGCATCTATCTAAAAAGTTGGAGTCAAAATTAGCTCATGACCTACCGTACTTTAAAAATTTATTAATTCATGTGTGTATGTGTATGTGTGTGTGAGAGAAATGAGGTGGGGGAGAGAGACAGAGACAGAGAGAGACAGAAAGACAGATACAATGATGATAGGAAAAAAAGAGATAGATATATTTTTATTGGAGGTGGCAGAGAGTGGAGGGGAGCTGAAACTGCACGAATATTTTAAGCACCCGAGTGGGTTAGAAATGCTTGTCTTCTGCATAGCCTCAGCCTCAGGGTATATTTTTGTGCCTGTCATTATATTACTTCACTAGTATAAATTAGGGAGTCTTTAATGACAGTGCAAACATTTTCTATCTGAGTAAATTCCCACTACAGGCATTTTCAAAGACTGATTAGTCAGTCTGGTGGCACTTTAATTTTTTTCTATCATTTCATTTTTTACATCTGCTATTGAATTATTGAATCTGAATTATAACACTAAAAATTAAATTATAGCTATTGGGTTTTTTATTATGGCTTTCGTTCATGTACTCCATAAATAACCTTTTAAGCTTAGTATACTCTCTTGAGTTATATGTAGGAGAAACTTTCCCCACAAATCTTACTTATCTACTTGCTTTAGTTGAAAAACATACACATACTTTTTCTTCTGTTTCAAAGAAGTGTATGCTCATGACCTGGTACTCATTCAAAACATTTTAAGTGACAGACTGTCTAATCTATGATTTTAAGAAGGACAAAATATAAGATAAATTTAAGTGAGATTTTGATTGGAAATATTTTTCAATTACAAAGCACATAAGAGAATTAATGTGCACTAAAGGGAAATAGATACACAGGGCTTTGGTAACTTTCTCTAGATTGTATTCAGGATGTGTACATTTAATGCAAATATAAAAACTTTTCTAGAAACTTGTGAGGTTTTTTTTCTAGAAACCAAATACCCCTGTTAATTTTAACCATTTAGAAAGTAAAGATACTCCTTTTATCTTTCCTTTCTGAAAGCCTAAGTAAAAATTTCCTTTGTCAAGTCTATTTGAGAATAGGCCCAAATACAAGTATAAGGATTCTAAACCTTTCCTTATCTGAATATATTTAGCTGAAGAATTATAATCAGACAAGGGGCACACCATTACAGTGACTCATCCAGAAGGCATGTTAAAAAGGAAAGGAACATTACAAATACCCTGAACAATAGGCACGGTTGTATTCTTTCTTAAGTATATTCATAAGTTAATAGTTTAACTTTATATCAATGTTATACATAAAAATGAAACAAATGTGTTTATATACTAACAATAGCAAAAGCTCATCACTGTGTGCCTCTTTGGCTTCTAAAATTATGAAATCCTTATAAGAAAAACAATTGTTAGAAAATGACTCATTTTAATAGGAAAAAGTTGTTAAAAAATTTATCTTAATGGAACATGTAACTTACATAGTATCTTTCAAATTTAAAAATATGCACCCTGGACTGGACTAAAAATTCAGTAGTAGAGAACTTGCCTAGCATACATAAGGCCGAGGGTTAAATTCCTAACAGCAATAAAATGATGATGATGATGATGATGATAATATTAATATTAAGTAAAATTTGTACAATTTGTCTCTGATACATGCTCAAAAATACCATCATTTGCCCTCTAACACAAGTTCCTGAGGATACAGTAGTTTTTCTAAATTGGATTCATAGTATGGCCTGACTAAGGCTGAGATAGAGGAACATCAATATGAAAACTGCATTTTTATTTTCATTCTAAAAGTTCACTAAGTATATTTGAACAACTGGGTTCCTATCTTTGTAGAAGCTCTCATTCTGCTCAACCTGAATGCATTTTAAAAAAATAGAAATGGGGTTTTTAATAAAAAAGGAATGAAAACAAACTTATCAACTAGCAGAAAGTATGGCAGAAGGACAGCTGGGTAGAGGAGGAGCAAGGAGACATGTGAAAACCTCTAAATAATTGTTTGCTACAATAAAAAAATTCTGTAGCCTGACCATGGAACCAACAGCAGTGCACAGCTGCCTGGGAAGAAGTGCACTCCCATCACCTGCTGACACTTCCCCAACTGCAACTGTTATTCTGCCTGTAGTAAAGTGTAAAATCAAAGCTCAAAAAACAAACTGAAATCTCCTACTCTTGTTGACAGCTCAAGGTCAGGATTGGAACTACATATGCAAGTTGATGCTTCTAAAAGCAACACTGGATATAATCATGTTGAACTAATTTGTTCTCATAGGAAGCACAAGTTTGAACAGAGAAGAATCTTCACTAAAGAAGATTTGTTTCCTTCCTTCATAATAAAAAATCCTCCATGCATGCACACCTCAAATTTCAGTGGGTCAAGTATGTATTGAATGAGGATTAGGTTATGCTGAATTTTCCTCACGAAGAGTTTATTTAAATGATTGAAATTATATTCTTCTTACAAAACCTTCAAATGCTGATAAGTCCTTCAAATGCTGATTGTCCTATGCTAATGTCTTCACTTGTCAAAACTATTTTATGCATTTTTCCTCTTAGACTTAGGACACTAATGGCAAAATTGAACACTGTCAAAGGTAGCTACTTAATATGATGATATAAGGGCTTAAAATTAATTAGTAAA